TCAACTGACTAAGAAGAGCTCAGAGGTTCCCAAACAGAAACTGATTCTGCCTTTACTTTTTACGCCTCAGACAACAGGAAATACTTTACACACACTTTTGATTTTCCGGTAAATGTTCTTCTTCTTCCTCTTCTTGCGTTGTCTTCTGACAGAACAGATCTAACATGGCGGGAGCTTGGTGAGTGTTTCAAGAACTTTGTTTCAAGTGTCTGGCATGAGGCTTTGTGCAGTATGTTCCTGCGTCCTGAAGGAAGGGTGCTAAAGTGTAAATGCAAGAGTACTGCAACCACATTATTATTATTAATTACCAAAAGAACAAAGTGAAAGAATAAGAAGAGCCGGTAACACAGGAAAGCGGCAGGGTGATGCAAATTAGCTGGCAGCGATCACATACGTTGTTCTATACATACAGGTCTCAATCTGAATCTGAAAAAAGTCCTTAAAATTTCTGACTTTTGTCCATCCAAATGTCCAGGTATTTGTAATTATCATTTGAATAGAGACACCACTAAGAGTATTGATAGATAGCGTCCAGGACAGATCATGGTTTTAGTTTTCATTTACTTTTAAGGTAAAATAAGAGCAAGGGTCCCAAAACATTTCCTTGTAGAACACCCTTCTTATCTGTGAACGATCAGTCAGATAACTAAACATAAAATATAAAATGTTCAGTCAGTGTTACAGTCAGTGTTTACTAACTAATAAAACAAATTAATTTGGTCCACCAGTAAGTTCTACATTTACAAACTGTCCAAGAGTTCATTTAAAGACTTGTAACTATGATTGTGTTAAATTTGACTTATAGATGTGTGAATAAAATGTTTTAGATTTTTGAAATTATCCAGAGTCAAACTGTGCTGTGATGTTAACAGGGAACCACGGATGGCTCAACTCAATGTTCAGCTTTTACGAATACTGGAAAAATTGGATGATGAAGATTTCAAGAGTCTCAAGTAGTACCTGAAAACCAAGACAGAAATCCCAGTATCCAAACTGGAGAATGCAGGACGGCGGGAGATGGCGGATCTGCTGGTGCAGTACTTCCCCCAGGACGTGGAGAATGTGATAATCACATTTTTGAAGGACATCAAAAGGAACGATCTGGTTGTGCTTTTGTGACAAAACAACGCAGGAGGTGAAGGTCCATTTAGACACACTCCAGTTTACGTAAAAGTTCACTTTAACAAAAGCTTGAGTCACTTTTATACCATCTTATTACTCACAGTGCTGCCTGAGTAACATAAAGAGCAATCAGATCAAATGACCACATTATAGTGATTGATGAGCCTTTACTGTCGATCTTTGCTCTTCTTTCAGTGAAGAAACTCTCTAGAACTGATAGAACTGATGCTAGCTGTTGTTGCTAGCTGTTAACCTCTCCAGCAGCATTGTTGTTTAACAAACAGCATCTTCTCATTGTGTCACAACCGTAGCTGCCAGTACTTCTTCCAACGGTTGCTCCGGTACCACAGACACATAGATTGAACCCTGGCAAGATGGATTCTTGCAGGATCTCATGATTTTGTGATTTTGGTTAGCATATGTCTTATATCTAATACCATGGTCTGTGTGAATCCTGGATTCTGATTGGCTGCAGGATGTCCATTAATTCCTGATGTAGGACTCCTACAAATTAGTTCCAGTGACCTCTGACTCGTAGCATAACATTTATACGCCTTTATACTGAAGGTAAACGGAACTGTTCACAAGGCTTCAAGAATGAAAACTGTTTCACAAATGACCTGAAACCTTCCTGATGCAGTCGTCACATTCATAACATTAGTTCATAAACTCTTTGCAATAACGAGGGATCATTCGTTAGAGTTCACTTTCTCACTTTCTCTCTCCGTCTGTTTCAGACCATCAGAGATGATGGGGTTGCCACAGTAACCGGCAGACGGACAGCCTCTTCGACGACCCAGACGGACACCTCAAGCTGCCTGAAAGTTCTTCTCATACATAAGTTATTCTTCCAAATAACTTATTCTTATTTAAGAAGCAGTCTGTTGGTGGACAACTACGTTAAATAAATACAAACAACAATGAACCTTTCTGTGAGTTTGTTTACTTCTGCAAACAGCACACAGAGATCACAGGTCACTCACTATCTTCCAATCAGCAACCTAACAGCTGCAGTTCCTCTAACAGCCACTAGAGGCTCCAGCAGTGAGTCAGTCTTCATAAGGCCCCATATTAAACAGCAGAAATAAACATGTTTACAGCCTTTTGTGCTCTGCAGCTAATTTCCCCATTTATCACAACTGTATGGGGGTGCAATGACAGCAATTAAATCCCATGATCCCACGCTGCTTCATCGAACTTCAGATTTTAGTATTGTTTGGATGAGATTAAAAACATTAAAAACACAGGGTGTACCCAGAGCACTTGTTCTCAAACTCAATGGTGCACTGGCGATGGGTTGACATTTTGTCTTCAGCCTGTAGAGGGAGACAGTGTTTGTATTGATTATAATGTCACATACAGTCAGACACAGAGTTCAGACTTCATGTTTATATGCATGAAGTGAATGTGAGCTGTTCCTCAGCTGTACTGTAGAGTCTGTTCTGACTCACAGTGGAGGTTTCTGAGCACTGTCAGGATCACCTGTTCCTCCCATTACTGAATGAGTAAACCAGCCTGATGAAGGAGTGACCTGTGAAAGCTCTAATCAACTTCCAAAAGCACTCCTGCTGTTTGTGTTCAGTCACTACAGAAATATTATCAGCAACATATACTGAAATAATCTAAAGTAACAGTACTCATGTACAATATTGATCAGTATACACTGTATCTTTATGGACGGTAGTGATCAGTATACACTGTATCT